TATCTTAAGATAGGTGACAACGAAATGATAATTTGTTTGTTGAAATTAATGAAATAATAAACAGAAAAAGGAAAATAAATAAATAAATAAATAAATAAATAAATAAAAAAAGAAATAAATAGATAAAAATTTAAGTTTCCTTAAAATGATCGAAGATGATCGATCTTTTTAAAGACTTATTCATGTATTTAAGATGTCGTCCATGACATATATACTTCTCTCTCTCTCTCTCTCTTTCTTTCTTTCAAAGTTTCCATTTTCATACGAGCAAACATTAATCATCGTCCAATGGCTAATGGCTCGCAGAGAGCAACGTAACCGATGAAACTTTTATGCTATTTGGGATTTGAAGTAATTAGGTATGTTTTGTGTATGGAAGAATAAGAGGGTAGGTGAGTGGGTGTGGGAGGAGGGAGAAGGGAGGAGGAGTGTGTTATGAGGGAGCCGATTCGTAAAAGGAGGGAGGGAGGGGTGGAGGTGAGGGTGAACACAGTCCTTCTATTGTCGAATAATTTGTCGAGTTAAAGCGAGGGATTCGTTTGATAATCGTTCCTTCGCTAAATACATTCTTTAAATGTTTTTTCTTCTTCTATTTTTCTTTTTTTCTTTTTTTTTTTTTATATATATATATATATATATTTTTTTTTTTTTTTCTTTTTTTTCAGTATAAAAAAATAGCAAGTTTATCCTCGTTAAAACATTATCGAATGAGTATACTTAAAAATTAATTATATTTAAAAATTAATTATACTTCAAAAACAAAACAAAAGAAAAAAAAAAAGAGAAAAAAAGGAATATTCGCAAATTACATTCGTTGTTATTATTTTAATTCGAATTATTATTTCAACAAATAAATATCAATTTACATATCGTTATAATAAATCACGCGATTGGCATTAATTCGTTGAAGTAGTATATACAGGAAAAGATTTCACCATAACGAATTGATCTATCAAGAGTAACGAATTCACATCGTTACGCTATTATAGTACTCTAAAAGGGAGTTAGGAGTATGGTTATTGTTAGGAACATATGTGCTAAAGAAGGATATATATTGACTCGAATGTATATATACATATATATATATATATATGTATATATATGTATACCGACCACCTGCTCTTTCGATAAGAAAAAAAAAAAAAAAAAAGAAAGAAAAGAGAAAGACAAACTTAAAAAGAAAAAAACGTGACAATTACAAATCTTATGAAAAAAAAAAAAATGGTTAATACTATGATTATCTGACGATAAAGAAAAATAATCTTGATTATAAATCGTGAACGAACATATCTCTTTCTCTCTTTTTTCTCTATCTTTGTACGTGTGTATATGTGTCTTTGGATTTTCTGGATTACCCATGGGTATCGTTCGAGTGACAGATTACATGGGATAAAAGAAGATAGAAATAGAAATAGGAATAGAGCTCTACTAAAATTCTTGCCATGTAGGCCTCGTTACGAATCGCATTACACGATCCTTGCAATCCTATGGTTGGTACGTGACGTGTACCTACTCGTGTATTATCTCGTGTGCACGATAGAGAAAAAAAGTAAGAAACGAAACGATAAAAAAAAAAAAAGAAAGAAAGAAACGAAAGCAAAAAAATAAACAAACCAAAAGAAAACGTAAAGGAAGAAAGAAAGAAAAATTGTTGAAACTATCGTGATCATTTTTATTCTACGTCATCATTATTTTATTTCTATTTATCCTTTTACGATGCCTATACACTTCACTTGTTTATTATTTATTTTATTTCATCTTCTTGACAACAATAATAACAAATAGAAATTAATTATTAATATGAATGCAAAATTAAAGTAGACACGTTTCGCAATTATATAAGATTTGTGTATTTTCCGATATTCACTTGTATAGAGTATTAATTAAGAAAATAAGAAAAAATAATCGAGAAAAGAAATGTCGCATATCGTTTATAAATTTTATTATTATTATTATTATTATTATTATTATTATTATTATTATTGTTCTTATTAATCTTATTTCTTCTTTTTTTCTAAACTCACAAAAAAAAATATATATATATATATATAAATATGTATAAATACGATCGAACAATTAGAAGAAAGGAAATAAGAGGAAGAAAAAAAATGGAAAGGAAATGTATCAATTCTCCATTCAATACGTTTTTCGCATTCTTGAATGAATTCTCGCAATTTGTAACTCCGTTGAGCCGGTAAAGTAGGAATCCTTAGCCACTATCATCATTGAAATCCACCCCTAGTATACCCAACAACAACTCTCTCTCTCTCTCTCTCTCTCTCTCTCTCCCCGTCCCTCCCTCTCTCTCTCTTCTTCTATCTTTCACTGATCCTATCCCAAAGTAAAACCGAACGAATCCCTGGCTTCAGAATATCGAAACCAGCAACCGAAATGCCGGCATAGCCGTTCAGTGAGGGGTGATGGGTAGATTGTTGGAGCAGGGAGGGGAGGAGGGAACCATCTACCTGACGCAGTTACTGGTGCTATCGTGTTGTTACTG